TTTAATTCTTCACTTCCATTTCCAACACGTATTTAAAATATCTTCATTTCGATGAAATATGTCTCTTAGTTAATTTTTTTTCTATATTCTTCTGTGAACTTTCGAAATTAAGCTTGTAAACAGAAATACTTTGTTCCATGAATTAATTTTTCCGATTATCTTTTCTTATTTATACAAATCAGATTTGTATTTACGATATGATTTAAAAATTTACGAATGTAAAAAAGAAGACGCACTTTTTGTATAAAATGCGAGTTTTTGTGCAGTTGGAAGATGTGAAGTGAAAACATTTTGAAATAAAGAAAATTTAGCACGAGAAATAAAGGAAAACATTTTTGTAAAATATTTTCATGAAATAAACGCATTAAAACGAATATTAAAATGTTGTAAGATAGACAATTAATATTCTCCACGTTGTCGCAATTTAATTCACTATGACACTAAGCAGATAATCGTTACAATTTTTATCGACGAGGATACCGATATTAAAGAAGCTTTCTCAATCCCATTTTCAGTGCGTTCTCTTTCGTAAATCATACACACGACGCATTGATTCTAATTGTTTTATTAAAACAGCTACAATTAATTCATACGCGGTTATCTCAAAACGACAAATTTTCACATCTCGCTCTATAACCGATCGGTCACAAGCGGATAAAGAGAGAGCTCCGTACAAAGAGAGAACACGGTTTTCCCTTTACCGTCGATGAGAACTAAACTAAACGCGTGCGGTGTGCCCCGCTAAATTGTTGTTACTTCCATTTTTCTCTCACTTTATCCAAAAAATATTTCATTAGCTACTATTAACTATCTAAAATCTCTTAATCTAAAATCACACTCAGAACATAACTATATGCGCCCTTTCTTTTCTTTGTACATCTCCTGCTATTCCCTAAAACACGAGACTCGCGATAAAATGAGAGCAGAAAATATTTAGGGATAGAGAATGGTATAATTTTGTTGCTTTCAGAATTTTCCAGGCGCAAAAATAATAATAATAGTATTCATCATCGACAAAATAGCATTAGAAAATAACTGTAACTACATGCAGTCATAATATTCTTCGTCACAATATTCTGCTCTATCGAATATTCGTTTCTGTTTTTCATTTTTATGTACCTTCTCAATATTAATTTTATTATTTTTGACAATTTTAAACAATAATATCGAATATTTTGCATTTATATTTTATTCAGATATGTTACTGTATTTTGGTCCTATTACTTCTACACTCTTATAGAAATTATCATTTGAACCAGGGATTGAAATGAGAGTGAAAGCATTCGAACGATCCCCGATAATCACGTCTTAAGTACGACTTATATCTGATATTGTATGAATATTATATGAAACAGTCGCTTAAGGTACAGCGAATTAATTCTTCTAGTTTAAGTTAAACGTTTTACAAGATACATTACAATTTTATAAGTAGAATAAAATTTTAATAAAATTGCAGAAAAAACCAAATCTATTGCAAACAATTATTTCTTCAGATAGATTCTTTTTATATTAACAAGTATTTAAAGATACTTAATTGAAGGATCGTTGATTGTTGGAATTTGCTCGAATCATTCGGATTCGCTTGTCTAATTATTTGTACGACAGTTAGTCGTACGGTAGTGGCGCTTACAATGTAATTGAAAATAATATCGATTCTTATCCACACAGAAACGAACTTCGATTTGTCGCTTTCTTCCGTTTTGATCCTCCATGTAGATTCTCGGGAGATTTAGCTCAGACGTAAAATCAATGGATTCGAATTTCCGCGCTATAATCCGTGTCATGTACTTACTTCTCTTTCAAATTTTATGAATTAATGATAGGCATGTAAAGTTAGCCTTTCTTCCGTTTTTAGCTTAAAAAGTCGAATCTAAAGAAATTACGCCGGCTTCAATTCCCAATTTTCATTCTTTTCTAGTTTTTTATTCTCCTATTTTTCTAGCTATCTTATTTATTTAACTCTTTCCTTCAACTTTCTCACTCTCTCTCTCTCTCTCTCTCTCTCTCTCTCTCACTCTTTTTTGTTTGCCTGAATTGATACCATCGCGTTCACATGATAAGTCGGCAGTGCATTTAATGGAATAAATCGCGATTCTACGATCGCGCGAGAGAAACTCGCGTTCGCGAGGTAAACGAGGGAAAATCATCGTCACCGAGGTAGACGAAAATCGTTTTCTCTTGACGTGGAAATTCTCAAGATTTTCGAGATCGGCCGGCGACAAGGAAGGTCATTAAACATCGATACATGCAGTTCGTGCATATCTTCATCCTTCCTTCCTGCCGCGCGACGAGACTGTGAAAGTCCTGCGGGACATCCTCCTCTTTTTATTTTCTAGTCTGAGATCCAAGGAGTCCCGTCATTCGAGATCTCGACTTTGAGAGACGAGAACGAGCGAACGTGGGATCGGGACAGTCACGAAAGGACAGGACTTGAATTGCTTTCGTCCTATCAAGGCAGGAAGTTGTCGACAAACGCGGGAAAATTGTTAAAGATGTAATCCTTGCTCCTGCAAGTAATTTTCATCGGGAACAACTCAAACATTACCGACAATTCTTTAACTTTTTTTTCAGAATCCTTCGATCCTCGAATTCGTCTAATTTTTCTTCATCGAATTCGCAATCAGTCGAGTCGTCAACTCGTTCCTTTGTCACTTTGAAACAATTCACGCTCTAACGGAATTTGCCTCTCTGCTCCGTCAATTTGCCTCTCGAATGTAAAGTTTTCGGGAGTAACAAAAGCATTCGTTCTATTCCGCTAACACCACGGTCATTTACATTTTTCTTTACGAATTTACAATCTAACGTTCGTGTTTGTAATTCGCCGCCGTAATTTTCCCGCACTTTCCGTCCCTTCCGCATTTTCGTTCATCGCGCACGCCTGCCCGAATTTTCATCTACCTTTCCTTGCTCATCTAATATATCGCTTCTAGAAAGACATCTCAATCTAGGATTTATTAGTCTTTATTTCTAGCGAACGCGCTGATCGCTCATCAGAATCAAATGCTTCGTTACCAATGCTAACGCTAGAGAGGAAAAGTGCCGATCATATACCATCTATTATTTCTACAGTCGCTAACAGTAGTCGCTATTTCGTCGAAAAGATTCAATGACGACTTCTTCGACTCGTTAATCTTCTCTTCTCTCTTCTTCTTCCCCTTAATTCCTCTTCGTAGCCGATTTATTGAGAGTTATCGGGAGTATCTCGATAAATAGCAACGCTCGCGATAATCGATTCGTTCGCACGAGATTTAGTTCTCCCTTCGGCAAACAGAGGGTCTCATATGGAAATCGCGTTTTTTTTTTTTTTTTTCGAAAAAGTTTTTGAATTTCCGCCAATTTGGAGAAATAACAAATCATATAAACATCCTTGTACTCGCAAATCGAACACTATCTCAAGGACGATACGATTCAAAGCAAACTTCAGTTGATCTTTAGATATCCTTGGACATCCTTGATACATCTCGCCGAGGATCAATTTCCTCGAGTGTTCTTACGTCTAAAGCCACAGTCGTCCTCTAGAGATATCTCATCGCGGACGACTATGGCTCTAGAATTATCCTCCTTGAAGTACTCCTGGAAAATATCCTGTCCTTATTATTGGATAAATTCGATATTATTCGGTAAATTCGGTATTATTGGATAAATTCGAAACAATAATTTTTATCGTTACTAAGATGTCCTCGAGAGATATCTTTTCAAGGACAAATTTATTCGCAGCGACACACTCGAGGGATGTCATGTCGATTCAGAATTATCTTTTTTTTATTTCTCGCGGCATCTTCGTGTGATCTCCTATCAAAGACTATTCGACTCACAGCAATAATCTCGTCAATGCGACGTCCTCGAGGGATATCCTTTCGAGGACGATTTGATTTAGTATATTCTCAAGGACATCTCTCACTGTCGAAGTATCCTCGATCAGGACGAGAAGAATTTTTCTTCCCCTTTTCCGGCACTTTCCCCTCTCGCGCGCGCGTATTTGATCATAAATGGTCAGCTGACCTCGCGCGACCTTGTACACGTGTGTAAAATCTAAGAAAAGAAAAAAAAAAGAACTGGCCCGTCTTTTCGACGCTCGCGTTTATTAATAGCTATTAATTATCACCCTCCCTCCCCACCCCTTCGCTTTCCCGCTCTTATGATTCCAATCCTCGGGAATCTCCCACCGCTCTCTATTGGAATTAATTGGCTACTTTGTGTTTAAAATTGGCTAATGTGTGTATGTGTGTGTGCATGGACGTGTGCGTACGTGTCTGTGTGAGTGTATGTGTACGTAGATGTATCTCTCCCCTCGATGTGTATACAATGTATAATACGTATAATATATTGCTATATATACATGCAGAACGTAATGAAATGCGTAGAAAAATGATAGTATGATTTTCTTATAAGGTTCCAAGTCAGTCTTTTCTTAGAAAATGCTTGAGGAATACATCAATGGATACTGTTCTTTTTTTAATCATTTTTAATGGTATTGATCCTTAGTATTCTTAGAATTTTCGTCCTGTATGTCACTAAAGTTCTGTGAACACGGATAATCGCGATATTCCACGAATTTAAAGAAATTTAATAATCTATCGGAAAAAAATCCTGTTTAAGGTATAAATTAAATTTGAACATACCATGAAACAGGATACTGTCTATTTCTTGCATTTTAATGTTCATTGATAAAAATTCTTCTGATTAAATTATGAAAGTTACGAGAAGAAAACTTGTTAAAAAAAGATCCGGGAAAAAAATATCCAGAAACGTATTTCTAAAGGAAAATGAAAGAAATCTTTCATTTCCTTTTATATATTTCTGAGAAAAAATTGAAAGAACTTCAATCCTCTTTTATAAAGAATACACAAAAATCTAAAAAAAAAAACCAATTTTTTTCAAGTTTCTCGAAATATATTCTTACACATGATAATCGAAAATATTCATGTGTTTATTTAATACTGATAACAATTTAGTACTTACGAAAAATACTTTCGACTTCTTGAAAAAAAATGGTGCGAATAAATTGAATAATTTTTTGTGAAATTAAAAGATGCATTTCTGAGATAAATTAAAAGAAACTTCAAATTCTTCGAACGTTCCTACTACTTTTCTACGCATCCCTCGCGATATATCCCATGCATGTATATGTATCAGCTAGTCGAAAATTGAGGCTATAGTGTGCGGCAGTCTATTGTCTCTCTTGGCTCTTCTCTCCGTAGCTTCTAGTTCCCCGTTTTCCTTCTTCTTTATCCTCCTTTTCTTTCTTCTTATTATCAGTGACTTACTATCTTCCGGTCGACGAAGATTCTCCTTTCTTCTTGGAGAGCGACGCGGAGTCGTCACCCTCGAGTCCGACGGTCTATCTCGGGAACGGGAACGGGGAAGACTTTTTATTCCCACTGGTGTGGAGAGGGTGGCAATTCCGAGGGGTGAGCCACCGTGGAGCTGCAAGTCGTACGAACAAGGCATTAGAGGAGCGACGAAGGGCGAAGAAGGGACTGAGAAAGCTAGGCTGGGGGAGGGGGGAAGACGTGCGACCCTTTTGCGGTAAAGCGAGTCGACCACCCTGTAACGGCCATCGGTATTTCAAACGAAACGATCTCGACAAAATTATTAGTCAATACAAATTTAATAGTTTTTCTTACGTAAATTAAAAAATGCATTATTAGACGATAATAATCTGATTACCGTGGAGTAGTTAGGGCAATCGATCGCGGGGGGGTGGGTAAAGGGAGAACGGGTACAACTACGTGCGAATCGTCGAGCTTACTCTTTAAATCAGAATTTTCGGATATTTAACCTGAGCAAAGCTAAAATTGGGGAAATTTTCGAAAGCCTTTTACATCATTTGACAAGACATAGCGCTTATTGAAGTGATAAATTCAAATGGATTCGATTGAATATTCAGCTTAATTAATTATGTAGCCATTAATCAAGAATATCATATTGAAATTAACTCGTATTAAATGTACTTGCTCGGCCATCCGCGTTCTCTAATGATCTAAAACGCGAAGTACGAAATGCCACAATAATAATTTACAACTATCATTTCGCACTTCGGTATTATAGATAAAATCTAGAATTACGACTAGATCGTAAGGACATTGAAATCGTCAGCGAGCAGTAAGGTGTGCTTTACTTTCTTTCTTTATTTATGTTCGTTAAATGTAAACAGCACTATTTTTGGTCTATTCTTTATTACAATTGGTTAAGTAAGGAACACAAAGGAATTAGATATAACTAAAAGCATATGTACAACACAAAACAACTCCTCTAAATTTGTGCATCATGCCTAAGACAATCATTACACACTGAATCAAGGTTTCTCTCTTGCTCGTCTTCGATAACAAATCACTTTCTCTCTCTATTTTGGTTTCAACTTAATCACCAAGTGACAAACCAATAATTATTAATTACCGTTATGGAGCACGGACTATCCGCTCGTGACGATCATTTCGAAGAATTGATGAATCTCAACTATCTCAATAAGCAAAATATCAAAATTGTTCGTCTGATTTCCATGCAGCTGTCAGCACGCGTGACAGCCGATCGTCTCTCTTTTAAATCTTTCTCTCTCTCCTTCCTTAGACACATTTTCGATTTCAATATAAATCTACTTCTCCGTCATTTGATATATATTTTTCACGTGTAGTGAAATTAATATTGACCTAATATCGGGTAGATACTATCTATGGAATAGGAAATGTTTTGCATGGATCATCGGATTATGAATTATAATTCCAGGTGAATTTAGGAGGAGGGAGGTTGGGGAGATACATGCAGATCTTCGAAAGAGAGTTTTTATCTTTTTTTTCTTTTCTTTTTTTTTCTTTTTTTTTTGGCGCGTCGCGACGTCATCGCTTGTCTTTCTCATCGATACGTATTTCTCTCAACTGAAGGCTGCATGGTAGATCAGGCCTTCTTTTACACTCATAATGTCAACGACAAAACAATGTGCTCCGTTCAGGTATTTCCTCTGTTTTCTTTTATGCACAAGTAGCGGAATGGCGAGACAATGACGGCGGGTGTGTCGTGCGCTTACGAAACCGGGGTGACCGCTTGCAAATTACTGTATTCAGATTATTAACGCTCAAACGTTGCGTAATAGATTATAGGAAATTAAATTTTCGATTATTTAATCGGAATTGAATCTGAGACGGGAATAGAAATTTATTTCTTCTAAATGTATTTATCTTTTAAAGGTTCTGAAATCTAAATTCTGAATTTTATCTTTTTAACTAATTAATAACTAAATTATTAACTAAATTTAATAACATTTCAATTTCAAGAAATATTTATTTTTATATTTTACTATTAAATTATTAATATGTTATATTAATGCAAATAACATTTTAATGTTATGTACAATGCATTAATACTCTTCCAGATAAACAGATTCAAAAAATGAGATTAAGTCGCAAATTGGCAAATGTTCCTCGAAGATCGTAATTGTTCCCTTTTTAATCAGATTCGGGCTCGCTTTTAAGTTAGCCGCAAAAGTGGGCCAGCCAGCAATGCGATTTCTCGCTTCAGCAACGCTCTCGCTAAATAGAGAGAAAGAGAGAGAGAGAGAGAGACACACAGAGGGGACGAAAACACACTCTTCGGACAAAGGAACGGTATCCCGTCGAGTAATGCAGAGTATATTATTGTTGTACGGATGTTTAAGGAGCCGGATGTTTAATTGCGCGTACACGCGAAACTGCCGCTAATTAGCATCGCTAAACGCACCTCGTTTGTCGTCACTTAAGACATGTCATCGAAATCCGCGAAAACTGGTGTTAGATTATCCCAATTTCTGTGCAATTCAGAACAGAATTTATTTCTGAAACTCATTACGAGTAATTATACAAATAGTAATAATGTAATCTTCTTACGGACTCTCCCAAATTCAACAATAAAAAAATCCAAAAGAATCAGGGCGTATGAGTCAGCGTGGTAGTTAGTACGCAATCGTAAATCTTCGTTCCAGAAAATAAAATCTTTATTCCAAAAAATAGTACTGATTTTTTTTGGATTTCTTGAAGTAATTATACACTTGCACGTTTTTCAATTAATTCTGTTACTGTAAACATAAGGTAGTGTTGTTCTTTGACAAAATGAACACAAAATGAGTGTGCAGTTGTACTTTGAATAATACAATTATTTATGAAATATATTGTGAAATATCGCTCGCAAATATTTTAAAGCAAATGTTCGGATTATATATTCGACGAGTATAATCCATTTCAATAATTTTCAATAATAATCTTTAATTTAATCTACAATAATTAAATACGTATTATATTTTATAAGAACTGTATTCAATCCGGCTTTAATCATTTTTAATAGAGTTAATTTAGAAATTATTATCTGGATTGATATTATTAAAACTTTTCTTAAGCAAATCCCTTAACTTGAAATAATTTTTTCGGATTTATATGGATTTGTACAGAGAGATCTTCGAGGAATTTTATTTCATTAATCTTTTTAATTTTAAAACACAAATGTTTAATCAACCACGTCGTGTGGTCGTGGTGATATCGAATTCACTTGTAATTATATTTAATTATATAAAACAAGTGTGTCACCCCGTTTGAGCGCAATCAACCCGCCTTGACACGAAATGCACGACGCGACCGATCCGATTCGGAAATACGACGTACTATACAGAGCGCTTCGAAATCGCTAACTATATTCTTCTTTTAACTTTCAAAACACGTACAAATAATAATGTAGCAGTTTTTACGAGTAATCGTAGATAAGCATTTATCTTTCGAAAATCATAAGAAGATCGATGACATCAGCGATTCTGAAGGCACCGTGTATATCGGTATCGCGCGGGAGCGTTTAAAATGTTAGAGGCACGGCATATGTACATCATGAGGTAAACAAAGGATAGTTAGAGAATCCAAGGTGAGACAGTTGTAACGCAAGCAAAAGGCAATATATTTGATATTATAAAAAATAGGCTGGATCATGTACCTCTGCGAGCGAGGTCGCGCCGACTATAGCTGACTCTCGGTTCGTTCGGTTCGTTCAGGAGGAGGCGTAACACGATTTGTAGTAGTAGTGGTAGTGGTAGTAGTAGTAGACGATAGCGGTAGTAGTCGATAGTAGCTGACAGTGGTAGATAGCTGAGTCGGTAGTGGTAGTAGTAACGTGTACGTATACGCGGCGCAGGGCGCTGGTTCGGCGATCGGCTTGCTCTAACTTGACGGTAGAGTAAGCAAGACGTACAATTGTTACACATCCACCATCAGTTGTAAGTAACACTACCCAACAACACACACCTTGTAGAAGTTACGACGATAACGGTACATATTGGATATCAAATCGACAGGCCGAGACGTACATTGTAAATGTCCTTATTCCATACGTATTAGATAATGAGGAGACAATTCAGACAATCATAATGAAATCTGTATAGATCGAGTGGAGGATTTTTCCATAAGAGTTACGCCTAGATTTTCGGATCTTTTTTAATGGTTCAAGATAATTTGTATCTCGATTCGAATTATATGCGAATTTATATTGAATGTATATTAAATTTGAAATGACTGTAAATTCGTTATTCGTAAAAATTATTCCTTGCTTAATACATCTTAATGCAGTAAATTGTTTTAGGATAGTATATTTTATAGCTTATTTTTTGTTAATTATGTCATAAGTGCCAAAACACCAATTATAAAAACCAATTAGAAAATAACTTATAATACAAAAAATCTAGACGTACTGATATATTTTCAATTTCGAAACCAATAACAAAAATATAAAATTTTATCTTGTTTTTGTTATACTTCTACAAAAGGAAAGTTAAATTTTGTTGAGTAGTGTAATCTGGGGAAAAATATTACATATGTAGATCTGTTACTATTAGAGATGTTTCTTCGTCTCAATATCGCAGAGAGAAAATTAGAACGATATTCTAGAATACAAAATACTTGATAATTGTCCTAAATTGTATGAATTAATAAAATGTTTAAATATTTAAAATTAAATTATAGAAAAAAGATTATATTTTTTTCTATTTTCCAACTTCGCTGAAACTTTTAGTAGATTCTAATGGATTTCTATTTAATCATCTTTATATTATATTTCTTTTATAATTGTTATCATGTAATTTTCGTTGTTTTCATCATCTGATTATTATCTGTATATCACGTCGAGAATTTACAATGGTAAACATCATAAAATATTACCCGTCACTTTATGATGAAATAAATTGATCGCTTCAATTGATTATTCCGTTAATACGGTGCTTTCATTACTTTTAATAATGTACATTTTGCTGTTCAAAACGACGTAATTTTAAATAAAATATAAAGTTATCTTCTTATTTATTTATGAACATAAATCACTGTACTTTCTAAAAATTTATAAAGAATAATACACTTCAGAGTAGAATTAAAGAAAAATAATTTCATTAATATTTTATATCAAAATTTAATTAAAAAAAAAAAATATATATATATATGTATCTAAAATCTAATATCTAAAGAAATGGTGGACTTTGCGGTATTTTATATTATTATCAATTAAACAATAAACAATAATGTTCAAATAATTTTGAAAAATAAATGACAAATTGTCAAAGAGAATACAGAGTACACACAAAGAGAATAAAAAGAAACACGGGAAGGAAACGTAAAAATCATTGAAAAGATTTTATACATGTTCCTGAATCTTTCATATCCCCAACTTTAAAATATCATTCTAATCCTCAACTTTAAAATATCGTTCTAATTCTTCGTTCGACGATGTTGATAACTATCAGTTCCTTATCTACTTGATTTCTGCTCCTTCGCTATATCAAGAGATCGCATAGAGCGATTGTATCACAGTGGGCCGACAGGGTTACGTGAAAAATGCACATACGTTTTAGACTTTACATGTTATTCTTCCTCGGAACAACATCAAAAACTACACAGCGTCCTTTGTGGACGTTAGCAAGAGGATCGCCAGGACGAAAGGCCCCTCTTTCTTTTTTTCTTTCATCTTAAGTCTCGTATAATCGATCGATTTCGAAATTTACTTTCTCCCTCGTTACGCGTTGAAAGACTCAGCCGGCTCTAGTCAGCGCTACTCTTCAAACACCCGATATATCCCGCTCGCGCTACTCGATTGCTTGATAAGAAACACTGTGCGCCCCTCTATGAACTCTCTTGGGGATTATTAGCTTGTCTGTCTTTTTTTATCTAGGATTTAGGATATAGGCTCGTGATGCGGGGAGAGGTACGAATGCGAAGGAGGGGGGATATCGATTTCTTTACAACATTAATCTCGAGGGACAGTACAAGGGAGAATGTTGCGAATGTTTTTTTTTTTTCGTTTTTTCTTTCTTTTTTTTTTTTAATTCTCTTAGGTATTTTTTCGTCGATCAGTTCTAGTAACTTTGCTGTATGCGAAAGGGAGACTTTTGTAAGTCGGGTCATGTCATATCGCTTGTTCCAAAACCACAGAAGCATTGTAGCTGTATGCATACATTCATACATCAATGATACAAATCGTATTTTCTTTCTTCGTCACTATTTATCAAATCTCGCAATCGATATGAAAAATCTCACGATATTCTACTAAACTGAATTTTATTAAAAAAAATTATACGAAGAGTAATGATTTTCCTTTGAAAAGCTTCTTAATCGGTTAATATTTTACCAAGTGCTGTGCATTTTACTATCTTATTTTTTAACCTTCTCCGGTAATTTTGGAACAAAAAAAAACGTGTATCGATCGGCCAAGGGCAACTTGCGTGGATTCGTTTTATAATGCGGCTTACCTCGCGAAGCTCTTGAATGCCGCGGACTGCGGATTAATGCAGAGCGGCACTCGCGACGTGTTCAGCTGCTCCGCTATAAATTTGTGCATCTCCTCTGAAACAGACAACGACGTACCAGCATGTAAGTGAATGACGGAGTTGGGACGTTGATGACGCGATACTGTTTCCCGTGGTCGAGATAACGACACTGTGAATAACGCCATGGTTATATCCTCACCGCGCGATCCAGCGCTAAACGCAGCTAAATCGTCCTCATTTTCGTCCGTGTTGTGTGTATAATGTCATAGTTTTTAAATTTGATTATTATAATTAGTATATGCATTTGAATTATTGAGTACAAAAAAGATATGAGTTCAATTTTGTCCGAAAATAAGTTTTTCTTCTCATTAATCTTGAAGTAGGTGTTTTCAGTACAAAGACACTTGTCCCAGACTTCTAAGAAAATAAATAATGAGTGGAAAAAGGAACACTAATCCACAACTTATCCACTTTCACAATTTGAAAAAAAAAAAAGTGGAATGCTACTTCCTATTTATATTGTAGAAACTTTTTCGAATGGCTAACGACCGAGCTTGAAAAATAATCAGAAGAGATATTTTAACAGTCAGTATTTTAACTTCAACGTTTTCGAGGTGTTTTGTGTAATATTGTTTTACATAAAGCGAGATAATGATTGTTAAGAAAAATGAAGACAAATAAAGTATTTGAGTGGCGTACTATAAAATTTTTAACTTTTTTTACCAACGTTGAGTGTAGAAAGAATATGAGTACAAATTTGAAATTTAAATTTTTCGCTTAATAGACAAGCATTTCAAAGCTAGAAATGTTTCAAAAATATTATTGAAATATTATTTAAATTCTCGAAAGTAATTTTGTTTATTTTTCCACTGGAACTAAAATTGAACAGTTTTTTTTAATACCGAAAAAATTAATAAATGTGACTCGTCCTCTTTCTGCACTCTCGATTCATTTATTATCGCAATCATTATTAAGTTTAAAAATTCTATAAAAAAATCTTTCCGTTACGCGCGGACAGTTTTCCAAATTTCACGTATATTTTTAAATTTCACAATTTTTTTACATGTCATAACGTCGTACGTAATATTTTTCTGTACGCTTCTGTCAATCGTTGCGAACAACTAAACTTGCAAATATCACTGAGCTTTGATTTTAATGTGAATACCACGTCCAGCAAGGAATTATATGATAATAATAATAACAGCAGCATTTTTTTATGTTATTCTGGTCCGCCGTTCTTCGCTTCATCGTTAACGATTATAGTAACGAGAAAAGACCTCACGGTTCTCAGCGACCAGGCGTTGCTGAGATAAACCATGATTTATCGTGACACGCACACACACGCGAAAATGTTTATCGCGGTTATTGTTCTCGAATAGCACAGGCACGTGCCTGAGATACTTACCGTGTACGTCACTACCCACGATACGCGCGATATTCTCGAGACAATATATTGAGTTTCTTCTACACAATTTGTACCGCAAAAACGAATTTCTAACTGTCAGTCGCACTTTGTACAAGATTTAATGTAAAAAGTCGACGAAAAATCAGTATAAAAAAAACTCGCTATTGTCAAAATGTTAAGCATCAGAAAAATTTCCTGTTTAATAACATTCTAAATCAATTACATATACAAACGTAAATCTTACTTATCATTGAAAGTAAATGAAATTTATATTAGTCGTTATTTTATTACACAATATAGAAAAAGATATTCTCGATATTCGTTGCACGGCTGTCGCAAAATTCACATGCTATTATTAAATGTTACGTACTTTCGTAAATATTCGTAAATATATTTTTCTGCCAAATTCAAAAGACAGAGCATTCGCGACATTTTTTTCTTTCATTATTTCTTTTCATCCCCACACGAATTTTTAACACGGTAGAATTTCTCACCTTTCACTTGCTGCACGCTCGTGAGCTTTCGCTCCCAGAGATCGTCGAACGGATGGGCGGCCGAAGGCTCGAAATCCACCCTGTACTGTCTCAAACCGGCGCTCGTCGTATAACAGCATGTGCACATGCACGAATGATATCGAAGCCGTCCCTCATCCAGATAAGGATGCGCCAGGGCGTCCACCACGGTGATCCTCTTGTCCTGCGTAACAATAATTCATCCGAAAGAACATTAATAAGTATAATATCAATTACTAAATTATAAAATGAAAAGTGCCAAATTCCTGTTAAATAATATGAATCTCAACAAATGAGAATAGAGTAGGAATTGATCTTTGTATTGTTATCAATATGTATAAATAAATGCAACAGAATTAATTGGAATTGATAATAAAATATGAAATCCGAGATAGTAATTATTATCGGATTAAAAATGATAAATATTGCAAGGGAGTAGTAATTTATTTAAAAAACAATAAATTTATAAATATGATTTTGAAACATTT